TGTTCTTTACTACACTGTAAGTTTTTTTTTTTTTTTCCAGTCGGCTTTGCTTTGCACAAAGTGTGGTCGCGTAAGGTCTTGTGACATTGACGGCAATGAGCTGATTGTGACCTACACAGCGAGCCTTTGAGACAATGCTCGCAAAGAAATCGCCATCCGAACAAGCTTAACGGGCGCTTTGGAATTTAACTTTTCTCGAAAGTAAAAAATTAAAAAAGAAGAATAAGAGTAAACGTGTGTGTGTGTGTTGGCATTTTTCTTGTTCCCTCTTTGCCTTTTTGCCCTTTGCCTTTGACTTCTTCTTCTTTTGCTCTCTTTTGGCAGCGGTCTCGGTCTCGATATCGGCATCGGCGGGCTGCTTGACGTGTCTTGCTTTGTGTGTGCGTGGTGACTGATCGTTTGTGCTTGGTTTGGGACTTACCTGATCGGGGTCTTGCGGCGACGCCGGAACGTTTTGATTGAAAGCACTGCTGCCTGTGAGGCCACTGATCTCGCCTCGCAGTCGACAACGTGCGCTTGGGCAATCAAGTCCACCCGTCCTCGCAACTGTCATCGAGAACTACTGGCCAAAGGTGAGTCGTTTGGTGCATCAGACAGAGAAGAGCAAAGAGCCCGGTGACCGGCTGCCGTTTTGGAAACGGCGCGCGCCTGTCGAATTCTAGGTTGTCAGACGAGTTGTACTTGGAGGGGGCTCATGAAATTGGTGGTGGCTAGAGAAGCAAGCAAAGCGGTTTGAAGCGGATGGTGAATAGAGAGAGAGATACCGTTATTATGAGTGATGATGGAGAGCAGTTGTACAGTGCGTGTGATTCATCAGATCCACAAGAGGCGCTGCAGCTGTTGACCAGTTGGGACCAACAACGCATTCGAGATGCTGCCCAATACAAAGATAAGGTACGTATGCAGTTTGATATGATGTTGTGTGATATGGGTAACACTTTGAATATGTCACCAAATGGGGTGACGTTCTGGTATAACATGAGACATATACTGCATGTTTGCATCATCCCACAGGATGGCCGTACACCACTGCACAATGCCTGCCTTAAGGGTCATGACAAGGTGGTGGAGATGCTGTTGCAGTACGGTGTTGATACTAAAGCCAAGGACACGGTCAGTACAGTACCTCCCTCTTCCCCCCTTTACCCCCCCTATGATGGTGCACCTGGACCACGTGATGATGATGATGATGATGCTGATGCTGTACCTGTTCGTCATGCGGATGCATCATCCCACAGTGGGGCGGTACACCACTGCACACGGCCTGCCATAGGGATCATGACAAGGTGGTGGAGATGCTGTTGCAGCACGGTGCTGATGCTGAAGCCAAGACCAACGTCAGTACAGTTCTTCCCTCCTCCCCCCCTCCCCCTATGATGGTGACCTGGACCACATGATGATGATGATGATGCTGTACCTGTACGTCATGCGGATGCATCATCCCACAGGGTGGCGGACACCACTGCACATGGCCTGCCATAGGGGTTGTGTCAAGGTGGTGGAGATGCTGTTGCAGCACGGTGTTGATACTAAAGCCAAGAACGACGTCAGTACAGTACCTCCCTCTTCCCCCCTTTACCCCTCCCCACTGATGGTGACCTGGACCACATGATGATGATGATGATGCTGTACCTGTACGTCATGCTGATGCATCATCCCACAGGATGGCGATACACCACTGCACATGGCCTGCCATAGGGGTTGTGTCAAGGTGGTGGAGATGCTGTTGCAGCACGGTGCTGATACTGAAGCCAAGAACAAGGTCAGTACAGTTCTTCCTCCCCCCCCCCCTATGATGGTGGTGATGATAATGATGATGATGATGACGATGATGTACCTGTACGTCATGCTGATGCATCATCCCACAGAATGGCTAAACACCACTGCACCAGGCCTGCATTCACGGTCATGACAAGGTGGTGGAGATGCTGTTGCAGCACGGTGCTGATACTGAAGCCAAGAACAAGGTCAGTACAGTTCTTCCCTCTTCCCCCCTTTACCCCTCCCTGATGGTGACCTGTACCACATGATAATGATGATGATGATGCTGTACCTGTTCGTCATGCGGATGCATCATCCCACAGGGTGGCTATACAGCACTGCACCAGGCCTGCTATAACGGTCTTGTCAAGGTGGTGGAGATGCTGTTGCAGCGCGGTGCTGATGCTAAAGCCAAGACCAACGTCAGTACAGTTCTTCCCTCTTCCCCCCTTTACCCCTCCCTGATGGTGACCTGTACCACATGATAATGATGATGATGATGCTGTACCTGTACGTCATGCTGATGCATCATCCCACAGGGTGGCTATACAGCACTGCACCACGGCCTGCCATAACGGTCTTGTCAAGGTGGCGGAGATGCTGTTGCAGCGCGGTGTTGATACTAAAGCCAAGGACCACGGTCAGTACAGTACCTCCCTCTTCCCCCCTTTATCCCTCCCTGATGGTGACCTGTACCACATGATAATGATGATGATGATGCTGTACCTGTTCGTCATGCGGATGCATCATCCCACAGGGTGGCTATACAGCACTGCACCAGGCCTGCTATAACGGTTTGTCAAGGTGGTGGAGATGCTGTTGCAGCGCGGTGCTGATGCTGAAGCCAAGACCAACGTCAGTACAGTTCTTCCCTCTTCCCCCCTTACCTCTCCCCTATGATGGTGACCTGGACCACATGATGATGATGATGATGCTGTACCTGTACGTCATGCTGATGCATCATCCCACAGGGTGGCGA